AGATTTCAATGAGGGAAAATGTAGTCAAACCAAACTAAGTTTGAGGTTTTTGCAGGAAGAACAATGGGACAGGAGTTTGGGGATATGTGATATGAGTGGTTCTTGTGATAAACCAAGAAGCCCAAATCAGATATGGAAGAAGTAGAGAGAAGGAGGAGGCTGTTCAGGGCAGGTACTTAAAAAAATAGTTATGGTGGGATCCACAGACTGAAAGAGCTAAGAGGGTAAGGAGTGTAATCCAAGAATGGGAGGTTTTAAGATGGCTCCCTGAAAAGATAAGTGTTCTATTTTTTTAGCATTTGCCAATTTCCATGGTGTAAATAGTCCCACCAGGGCTGCTTTGAAGCTCCCAGTGTTGATGTTACTGAAGGCAGAGCTGGGAGGAGATGCACACATTTCACGCACCGGTTTAAGCTGGCTCCAGTACAACACTGAGTCAAGATTGTTGTAAAATGTGGGTGTGAAGAAACTGAGAGACAGTTTATACAAGTGGACTTGAAGTCATCTAGCATGATGGTGGGACATGGGAGTGGAGAAGAAACTGTGAGATCAGCACCAGTCTTGAATCAATAAGAAGTGAGTGAGAGGGAAGCATAAGATGAGAGCCAGACATGGAGGCCGTGAACCTCACACTGGAGTCATGACGGTCATGTCTGGCATGCATCAGATTAGTCCAAACTGAGTGTTTGGGGCACTTTGCATACATTATTTTACTTAATTCCAAAACAACCCAGTTGAGGTGGGCCTCATTATTATCCGAATTTTACAGATAAGGAACCTGAACTAACCTGAGGCTAAATAATTTGCCCAAGGCAACAAGCCAATAGGGATTTGAACCGCAGCAGTCTGGAGTTCAGACTGGTGGGCAGTCATCTAGAAGCTGTCTGTACCTGGAACGGGAAAAGGGCTGCAGTATGGGAGAATGTCCAGCTTCTGCTCCAAAGGGCTATGTCAGAGAAGGAGCCATATCTACTTCTCTACTTGGGTCTTCAGAGAAGGGCCAAGTTTTGCTAGAGCAAGGAGGTGGCAGGCATAGTCTGTGAGGATAGAGCAGGGTTACCATGCAAAGGGCTCCAGGGAGCACAATGGAAGGTTTGGGAGGGAAGAGAATGAGCACTGCATCAGTGGGGAGCACTGCTCAGGGGCCAGAAAATGGGAGTCTACGTGGCTTTGATCTCAGTTCTGTTTCTCTGGTTATTCCTATCAGCAACAGGCACGTAGTGGGCTTATGCCTCTTTCCAACATCAGTTATCAAAACGTGCACTTGACATTGATAACTACTTTACCAAATATTAAAAACAACTTTGTCAATGAAGATGCAGGAATCTGATTATCAAAAGTTATTATTAAGGGCTGGCCGAGTGGCTCAGTTGGTTAAGAGCTCACTCAAGAGTGCTAGCTCTGAGCAACAGGGTCGCCGGTTTGATTCCCGGCTTGAGCTGAGCTGCCAACAGGTGGCAGGATGGCTCAGCTAAAAAAAAAAAAAGTTATTAATAAATACTTATCAAATGGGCAAAAAGGGATGAACTTTGCTGAATAAAAATAAACAAATCCTTAAGAAAAGCAAGCCCCACTAATGATTACTGCTATCTCTGTTTAGCACGGTTTTAGTACGGTAGTACTATCATCTCTACCACTGACTCAGCACTCTGCACTGAAATGTGGACTCCGCTGTCCAGCCTGGTAAGCACGAGCCACATGGGGCTGCTGAGCCCTTGAAATGCAGCTAGTCTGAATTGAGATGTGCTGTGAGTATCAAATATACACCAGATTTTGAACCAGATTTTGGTTCGAAAAAGAATCTAAAATATCTTATTTTTTATATTGATTACATGTTGAAATAATATTTTAGATATTTTATATTAAACAAAATGTTATTAACATTAATTTCACCTGTTTCTTTTTTAACATGGCTACTAGAAAATTGAAAATTTTGTATGTAGCTTGCATATGAGGCTCACATTCTATTTCTATTGAGCAGTGCTGGTCTCAACCCTCCCATTTTTGAGGGCTAGGGTATCTTTGGAGCTCTGCAGAGAGTCAGGCTTAGGACATTTTTGATGGGGTTGTTGATTAGTTACTTCTAGGAAGAGGGCAAACTGAAAAGATGCTGCTTTCCAATTCTAGATTGTTGTATGATAGGCATTTAAATTCTGTGTACTCTGTGTTCTTTAATTGCAAATGTAAAAAAAACCCATCTGTTTGCCATCATGGAAAACAGAACCATGCCATCTGATTAAATTTGCTTAGGCTGCTTGGGTGGTACCTGAGAGGTTTAGCCCCTGATTCTCCTACTCTCAGGTCAATGCTTCATTATATCAATCTTCTCAGTTTGTTTCTGGACAATTTTCCCTTCCTTCTTTCTTTCTTTTTTACCATATCTTACCCTGCTGCCTTTAAAAAATATAAACCGTTTTACTTTTTTTTTTTGCATACTCTGGTCTTTGCAATTAGCACCTGGGTTCAAACTCTGCTCCTTCCTGTAATAGCTTGCTGAGCATGGGCACATTATGGAATCTCCCTAAGGCTCAGTCTCTTCATTTGTATAATGGGGATAATAGTGCTAACCTCAGAGTTTTGTCTCAAGGACTAGATGAATTCATACCTAGAAGGTGCTTAGAACAGGGCTTGGCTTATGGCCAAAGCTCAGTTAGATCAGTTATGTTTTTTATCCTCTTCTGATTACTACTTCAGCTTTCAGCTGCTTAGCCCTTGCCATCTTCATCCAAGCATCTTCACTTTTGAGGAACTGTAACAAAACAATGCCCATCTCACCCTTGGCTCCTATCGACAGATATTAAGCTTAGTATTGTCTTCTGAGATGGAAGCTAAATGTTTGGTCTTGTGAGATGGCCAGGCCACCCTGGGCACTGTGCTAACCATCCTGGAAGCTGGACCCTCAGACCCTAATTCAGAAGCTAGGTCTTAGAGGAGAAGGAGAGGGGGCTCCTGCCTCTTTGAGCTGCAGTCCTTTAGGTCTCAGCTACCAATGGTGTGGCTGTGCTTGCAGGTGCCTCTGGGGAGTGGGCATCAAAGACAGCCTCTGCTCAGGAAGGGACCAGGAGTGGCCAGGAGCCATCCCTGGAGACAAGCCCGTAGGAACTGGAATACACTGTGTTTTGCAAACCAAAAGAACAGTTTTATCTATTGCATGATAAGCTTTTTTGGTTTTCATGATCTGCCAACCTTTAACAAAAAGGTAGGGGCCAGGTAGGAAGAAACAGTGCGTTGGGAAATAAGAGACCGTTAAGAAGAAGCACAGATATCATGCTCACTAAATTGCAGATTGGAAGTTCTGTGTGTATTTAGGCGGGGGTGGTGCTGGTCAGTTGGTCAGTTGGTTAAATTGACAGCAGGGTGATCAAGTCTGGACCTCAAAAGTCATACTGTAGGTTTTTTTCTTTTGACCCTGTCTCTCCAGGAAGGAATCCCTAAATGCAGGATTTAGGAATTTGGGGGAGGGTTGGGGTGTGTGCTGGCTGCAGCAGCATAAGAGGACTTGAGATCTCACTCTTCAGTAAGTGGTCATTTACTTAATCCCTCTGTTTTTAGTTAAGTATCCTCACACTTTCTCTTCTCCTGTTATCTCCCCCCACCCCCCAACCCCCAAGCTAGGCCTGGGACCCTTAGGTATGGAGCCTTATACTTCTGTGTTTCTACAGAGTAACCTTTTCTGTCTCCCAACCAGCTGCTGCCTGTTTCAGCTTCCTATCCCTAAGGGGGAGGGCAAAAAATGGGGCCAGGAAATTCTCCTTCCCCCCTCACAGGCGGGAAGATGGAGGTTAACTATGATCAGAAGAAACACACAGAGAACTGGTGAATGGTTAGCAAACCCTTATCATTTCCTAGGAAGAAGCAATTAGTTTAAATTATAAACGCTATCTGTCAAACACTGTGCTAAGTACTTATTTATTATCTCATTAAATCCTCATAACAATCCTACAAGAAAGTTATATAAAGTTCCATTCTACAGGTGAAGAAATCGAGGCTGAGGTTGCCAAGCAACCAAGCCACCCAGCTTTGGTAGAGTTAGAAATCAAGCCAGGGTGGTCTGACTGCCAATCTTTTGACCAATAGGCTACCTGTTTTTATTTGCAAAATAAATGACTGAAATTAGTAATGGCAGCTGACAGTGTGGGTACAGGAAGAACAGCAGGTAGGTGTTTGGCAATGGTGATATTCCCAGCTGTCTGGGCTGGTTGAGGTGTGGTCATCTCTGGAGGCTCTCATGACCTAGATGAATGGCCTAGCTGACCTGGGACTGTCACTGTAGCTCCCCATCTTGTGATCAGAATGTACTCATGGGGCAGAGGTCAGTGCACCGGGTTCAATCTTTCTCAGGAGAGAAAAAATATTATAGCTGATAAAGCAGTGCCACATTTTGCAGCCTCATTTTGGAGAGATATCTTTTTATTAATAGTCTCCCAGGTCTCATTTATTTAATATTTAGATTTTTTTTTAAAGTGTAATGTGAGAAATTTCTGTACCTTGTGCTCAATTTAGCTGGGAACTTAAAACTGCTCTTTAAAAGTTATTTAAAATACATATATACTATGTATAATTTTAAAATATACATATGGAGTAAGGAAGCTTCTTCTCCTTTGAGGCCTTTTCCATCTGATTTTTTTTTTTTTAAACCTTCCTAGCAGAGTTTAAGAGACGGAAGCCCGGGTCCACAGCCTCACTTGTCTTACACTGTGCAGCACATTCAATCGATCACAGCTCTCCAGGTGCGCTTGCCCAGGCCTCTTCCGGGGGCGTTGCTGGGGCAGTTGGGAACCCCAAATTTCCATTTCCCCTTAATACCTGGTCCCTTGGTTGGCGTTCAGTAAATATACTTGCTAAATTAAAGAAGCCGAGAAAGAGACGGAGAGGGGAGAGGGGAGAGAGGGAGAATTTCCGTGCGGCAAAAGAGAGGAGCGTGACTGGCAGGGCGGACGCGGATGTCAGGAGGATAGGAGAGGGCACAGGGGCACAGGGACCGGCAGGCCGGCTCTTACCCCAGGAAGGTGAGGAACCGAGGGTCTGTAGCCAGGTTGGCGTCGATGGTGAAGGACAGGAACGAGGGGCTCACCAGGTGCACCGGCCGCTCCGTGGAAAAGTCCAGCTCCACGGTGTCCTCGGTTTGCGCGGGTCCCGCCAGGGCGCCGGGGGAGAAGGCGCCCAGCGGCCCCAGGAGCAGCAGCAGCGGCAGCCCCGCCTTCCAGAGCCCCAGCATCTCGGGCTCACCTGGCTGCCCCATCCACGAGCAAGCGCGCAGCGAGAGTCAAAGCCTCGCGCACTTCCTCTCGCCGAGCCACAGCGCCTTCTCCTTTCCTCCAGGGGCTCGCTCCGCCACACCCCTCCCGCTGCGCCCGGCATCCCTCCCATCGCTCCTCTTCTCCTCGCCCCGCCTCCCCCGCTCGCTCCCACTTCCTTGCAGGCTTTCCCTTCGGTGGCGGTCACGTCCAATTACGAAATCACCCACACCCATTTGATGGGTGCGGAAATGGCCAGGATCCAAGCGTCCAGGAGGCCTGGGAAGGGAGCGCCCCGGGAGAAGTGCTGGGCATCCCGGGCCGGCTTCCCCAAGCGTAGTGTCCTGTGCGATCTATTGGGAACACCAGTGTTTCCCTCTTCCAGGTCCCATCCGGGTGGCGCCAGGTCTTCTGACCCTTAACTAAAAGCCTTCAGTTGCGTATTCATCGCTTGCCCCTTCACCTGGTTTATAAACACTTCCTTGTCACTTGAGCCTGCCGAAATCTGATTAACCTGTGTGTCCCCTTGCCAGAGCTGTTTTCCAGGCATCTTATTTTTGCCTGAAGAATCTGACCTGGGCATTGGCTAACCTACAGCTAGAAAGAGCCCCTAAAAATTCCTTATCAACTTCTCATGAAAACCCTAGTTAGCAGAGCCTTAGAGCATTAGGCGCTCCAACATCTAAAACTTGGGATATGATACTTCTGTATAAATGTGGAGGTAGTGACTGTTCCTTAAATTTAAAGCCTTTGCCAAATTTCCTCTCTGTACATTTATCTTTAGCTGTTGGCCAAACCTTTCTTTGGTTTTCCTTTGATGTCTATATTGATGTATGATTATAACAAGCACCATGCACCTAAGGTTTACTATATGCCTGAAACCATAAGAGGTGCTTTATCTGTATTCTCTCTCTCGTACCCCACAACTCTACCAGGTGCATATTATCCTCATTTTACCCCAGGACCCAAACTCTGAGACCTTAATATGTCCAAGTGTCAGAATTGGAATGTGAAGGTGGTTATGTAACCCAGAGCAGAAGGCAGCCTGTCTCAGCTGAAATGTAACTTCCTCAAAGAAGCTTTACCTGAAAGTTCAGGCAGCTGACGTCCCCCATGACACACCATCACAGCATCCTGAACTTGCTAGAACTCACCGCGTTTGTTAGCATGATGAGTGTTGCTCTACATTGGCCTCATCTGCTAGATCACAAACTCGATAAAAACAGAAAATGGCTTTGTCTTGATTCCTGCACTCACCAAAGCTCATGGCACCATGCTTGGCACTTGGTAGGCATCCAATAAACAGTTGGTCAGAAAGCGCATGACACCAAACCCTTTAGAATTTTTCCACTTAGATTACACCATCAATAAAGCAATAAATACGCCTGAAACTAACAATTAAAAATAAATAAATAAATAAATGAAAACCCATAAAAAAAAGCAATAAATAAAAATGAATTCTTTTGAAATTTATATATAATTTGCATAGATCTGCGTATTCTTGAGCAACTTAAATTTAAATGGATAGTTAATTGAGGAAATTTACAGTTTGGAGATTTTGTGCATGTATCAGTTACTATTTTGCTATGGAAATCAGGTTCATGTCCTACAATTAAACATAAGAAAAAAAATTCACATGTAAACCCCAAGCTACCAGGAGATCATATGGCAGCAGGCATGGAGGTGGAAAAGCAGATGCCTCAGGCTCTTTTTCTGCCTTGGTCATGACATTGACCCTACATCCCACACCCTGCCCTTGTTGTGGGGCGAAAGTCACACCCATTTCTTTGGAATACTTGAAAAGTGGATCGTTGTGAGTTTTCTAAATGGTGAATCCTCGTGACATCCTCAGATGTGGGCCAGTGCAGTCCTCATGTGAGTTCTAATATGGAAACTGGATAAACATAAATGAGGAAGTGAAAAAAGTGACTTGTACAAATGATGATCTGTTTGGTTGAGATCAGATGAATTTCTGGCTCCTGGGTCTAAGTTGGTTTGATCCACTATGCCATGTAAAAGGAATAACAGGCACATGGGAGGGAGGAATATGTGATATTAATAGAAATTGTCATTTCAGAGATACTTTATGCTTAGACAGTTTACAATTTTAAGGAGCATAAAATGTAAATATGTGCTAGAGGCTAGAAAAAAGGAAGTTAATATGTATTGCGTGCATGCTGTTCTCCAAGGTGCTTTCACATATTTGTTTATTCATCATCTGGTCATTCAAATATCTATTGGGTGCTCACTATGTGCCAAGCACTGAGCGAGGCAGGAGTAAGCGGCAAACAGAAACTGTCCCTGCCCTCTGGAGCTTCCAATCTTAATGGAGAGGCAGGTGGGGTTTTTTTGTTTTTTTTTTTGTTTTTTTTTAAAATCACACAAAAGCAAAATTGCAAGCATGGTAGGTGCTCCAAAGATGATCATGGTGCTTTACACATGTATGTTGGAGTATTTGAATGTGGGGCAGGGAGCGTTCCTGTGGGGGTTATGCTTAAGTCGGCATCTGAAAGATGAGTAAACAACCAGGCAGGTTGTTTACTGAGGATGAGGATCATTTGAGGCTAAGGAGATGGTGTGTGCAAAGGTGAGAGTGCATGGGACGTAAGGGACTGAAAGAAGGCTGGGGCAACTGGATCAGAGAGTGAGGGGCACCTGAATAAAGTTAAATTTTTAAAAAAAATTAAAGGACATAGAGTAACATCTATAAAACAACAGTTTTTAAAATGTGATCCATAGTACATGAAGGGTCCCCGATACCCTTGCCAGAGGATCTGCAAGGTCAAAACTCTTTTCATAATAATACCAAGATGTTATTTGCTCTTTTCATTTTCATTTTCTCATGAGAGTACAGTGCCGTTTTCCAGAAGCTACAAATGTAATGTTGTAACAGATTGACTACAGAAGTTGATATGAGAATCCAGCTGTCTTTTATTAAGTCAGACATGAAAGGGATTTGCAGAAATGTAGAAAAATGCCACCCTTCTCACTAATTTTCTTGTTTTAGAAAATAGTTAGTTTTTATTAAAATGTTATTTATATGAATGTAAAATGTGTTTATTATCATTATTTTTAAATGAATTAATAAATATGTGTAATAAAATATTTTTTAAATTTCAGCTTTATTCAGGTGTAACTGAGAAATAAAATTGTAAGATATTTAAAGTGTACGTCATGGTGGGCCGGCCAGGTGGTGCATTGGTGAAGAGCTGGCTTGGGACTCCAGAGAGCCCCAGTTCGGATCCCTCATATGAGGGCCAGTGACACTGCCCTCTACAGCTAAGATGCTGAACAACAGCTCAACCTAGAACTGGGCTGC